TATGCTTACCTCACAAAGTGTGTGATCTTGGTCAAATTATTCATTTTCTTTAAATCTCAGTGTCCTCATGAGAAAAATAGGCATATAGTACCTGACTGGAGAGGCTGTTTGCAGGTCTGAGTGAGATACCAGCTGTAGAAAGGATAAAGATGACAGTGGAGGAAACTTGGCCTATGCTTTGCTGTGTGTATGATATATGAGAACTATTTAGTCTTATCCACTTTCCTGACCCAAGTATCAGACAAGTCCTGCTGATTCCACTTCCAAAATCTCTCAGATCCACATACCTTCTTCATAGCCCCATCCCACTGCCCTGGCCATTCCTCACATGAACCTAGGATATCATCACAGCCTCAGGTTTTTTTTTTTTTTTATTTTATAAATTAATTTTTATTGGTGTTCAATTTACCAACATACAGAATAACACCCAGTGCTCATCCCGTCAAGTGTCCCCCTCCGTGCCCATCACCCATTCACCCCAGCCTCAGGTTTTGACCAACTGAAAGGCATTGCTGCCTCCCCCTGCCTACTCTGAACTTTGTATATTGGGCACTTTCTTGTCATTCTGCTCTAAGCTTAAAAATTATCCTCTCAGAAAAGTTTTCCATGGCTTCCCAACTAAAGTTATACCCTATAATTTTTCTCTATTTTAATCTTTATTGATTGTCCATTTCTTCATATGTAAAATGGAGGATAATATATTATGTGCCTTATGGGGTTGTTGGGAACATCAAATGAGTCAAAACTTACAAATTACCTGGTACAGAGACAATGCTACCTAAAATTAGGTATTATTACTGTCTCCATTAAATCACATGCATAAACACCATCCCCACGACCAACACTTCTATCACCACCCCATACCATCACTACAGCACTGCCATCTTGAGTCTCCAGCTTGCAAATGGCAGACTGGGGGACTTCTCGGCCTCTACAATCACATGAACCAATTCCTCATAAGAAATCATATATATCCCATTGGCTCAGTTTCTCTAGAGAACTCTAATACAATGTCTCACCTATCTCGATAGCCTTTACATTTAACATAGGGTCTGGCACTTGGTTGGTGTGGCTGTTTTAAAAGATAGCTCCCCACACTTGACGGGATGAGCACTGGGTGTTATTATACTGTATGTTGGCAAACCGAATTCCAATAAAAAAATATATACAACAAATAAATAAATAAAATAAGATACGCCCCCCTAAATTCCTTCCATTAGGGGAAAGCACGTGCTCCTGCCCTTGAATCTGAGCTGACTTTTACAGCTTCAACCAACAGAGCACAGTAGAGTGATGCTGTGTGAATCTGCTGCTAAATCGCTTCAAACAAAACAAAACAAACAAAATGCAGTTTTTACCTAATTCTCTTGAGATGCTCACTCTGTGGAATGCCTCACCATGTGAGGAGTTCAATTATTCTGTTGCTGCCATATTGGAATGTACACGTGGAGGTGATCCAGTTGACAGCCAGCATCAACTGGTACCCGCATTCGTCAGCCAGCTTAGTCATTTAACCCTGCCAAGTCTGCAGGTGACTGCAGTCCTACAGATAACCGATTGCAACTATAAGAGAGGCCCCAAGCAAGATCCGAAATTCCTGATCCTTCTAAATTCCTGATCCTTAATATTGTGAACACACACATAATGGTTGTTTTAATCCACAGAGATTTGGGGTCACTGTTACACATTAATAGTAACCAGAACAACTTGTACTAAATATTTATTGAATTTATCAATGTGAGGTAAAAGAGATCTCCCTACCACTGAAAAAAAAATGTTTTAAGTGTAAGATCAGTATAACTTCATCCTGCAGCAATTTTTGTGGTCACAGATATATTTCCTATCACTCAGGGCATTAAGAGTAAACTATTACAAAGCTCAATTCATGTATCAAAGTCTAGACATTGTGCTTGTTGCCTTTTAGCTTTTAGCTCATCTAACTCTCGTAACCAATGGGGAACACATATTTATCATTACATACTTTGAGCATGAAGAAAAATGAAGCTCAGAGAGACTATAGATTGTCTGTCTCCATGGGTAGCAAATAACTGAGCTGGAATTCCTCCTGGGGCAGCCTGTTCCAAATCACGTCTTTACCACTGCACACAACCTTCCTCACTAACTTGTACTTTACCCATAACCAGTAAAAAGAAAGGTTCAGACAGTTTGGTATATCACTATGGAATACCATGTGAGTGGCCTAATATCATGAGCAATAGGCTGCATCAGCCAAGGGCCAACCTGGACATTGTACCAAGGACAGACAAGGCTGGTGCCACCAGAGTTCTATTTCTAATGCCAATTCTGTGGCCTTGCAATGACAAACTTCATCCTTTCCTCCCTCACATCCCTTTCAAAACCACAGATTCTCAATCAGAAGATAGCTCTGGAGCACTGGGATAGAGAATTCAACCAAAGGTAAAGACGATACATCAATCATCTATATATTGGCTATCACATGTTTTGACAGCATATACATGGAATAGAATCTCTGTTGGGGGGGAAGATAGCTAAGTCATGATTCTTGTTCTTTGGTAATTTTGATCCACTTAAGGAAAAAAGAAAAACTATATAAAATAACAGCACAAAATAATACATAAATGCTAAATCATGGGTTGTTTCAAGGTAATTTTTTTCTAAGTATGAAATTCAGACCATTATGAAAAGGGAAAATAAAGATTACCTAGCTAATCCAGTTCAAATACAACTATAGTTAATATTTTTATGGACTCCTTCTAGTTTTTTTCTATACATATATATGCATAATTGGGGCTTATACCATTATAGTTCTCTATTCTGCTTTATTTTACTTAATAGTATATCCTCTTTTTAAAAATATTTTATTTATTTATTCATGAGAGACAGAGAGAGAGAGAGGCAGAGACACAGACAGAGGGAGAAGCAGGCTCCCTGCAAGGATCCCCGTGCAGGACTTGATCCCAGACCCTGGGATTATGACCTGAGCCAAAAGCAGACGCTCAACCACTGAGCCACTCAGGTGTCCCTTAATAGTATATTTTGAACACATTCTAGAGTAGAATTTTTCAAACCAAACCCTACTGGATTGTGTTGTGAGAAAGCATACCAGGAGTTCATATTAATGTGGTATGATTTCAATAAGTTCCATCTACTAATGCACCTTTTTTCTTATTTTTGTCTTTATAAATTATACTATGAATCATACTTATTAAAAACTATAAGGTTAGTACTATAAAAGTACAATTGCTTCTGAAAGAGCATGTGAGGCTCAAATCAGACAAAAAAAAAAAACAATTGCGATCACCTCTCAAATAAATATTACATCTGATTACCTGAACCTGGTTAAAGATAAACAAAACAGAAAGAAATGCCATTGCCATCTCCATCACCTCCATGCCCTTAGTGCCTCCATAGTTATTATTGTATTAGTAATGTACATTTTCTTATTATTTCAGACCATCATTTTAAATGGATCATTGTTACCAGAAGTTAACTCTTATGCAGCAACATTTTTTAAAAATTTTTAAAAGATTTTATTTATTTATTCATGAGAGACAGAGAGAGAGAGAGAGAGAGAGAGAAGATAGGCTGAAGATAGGCGCTCAATCGCTGAGCCACCCAAGGATCCCCCAGCAGCATTTTTTAATACAAAGATTCTCTCACTTACATGAGCCCTTCAGAGATGGGATTCGGTACAGTTTTTCCTATAGCATATTTTAGCTATTTTTAACAGTTATATGGTGTAAGACTTAAAAGAAGTATAAAATTCCAGAATCGTGTCATTGTTTTTAATGAAGTTTCCAAAAGGGAAGAAAGAGGCTTAACAAAAAGGAACTAAGCAGGGGTACCTGGGTGGCTCAGTTGGTGAAGCACCTGCCTTCAGCTAAGGTCATGATCCCAGGACCCTGGGATAGAGTCCCACTCGGGCTCCCTGCTGAGTGGGGAGGGAGTCTGCCCTTACCTCTGCTCTTGCTCCCTCTCTCTCAAATAAATAAAATATTTTTTTTAAATAGGAACTAAGGAGATCCCTGGGTGGCTCAGCGGTTTAGCGCCTGCCTTTGGCCCAGGGCGCGATCCTGGAGTCCTGGGATCGAGTCCCACGTCAGGCTCCCGGCATGGAGCCTGCTTCTCCCTCCTCCTGTCACTGCCCCTCTCTCTATATATATGTCTATCATAAATAAATAAGTAAATCTTAAAAAAATTTAAATAGGAACTAAGCAGTTATACTACCCAGTTTATACATATTATAAATAAAGCAAGTAGTAAACTATTTTGACATTACTTTCACACCAACCATACAGAAAATTATATTGTGTGAATTTCAAAAGGAAAAAAAAATGTAGATATCAAGGTTTTCTTGGATCTAGATCATACTTAATTGTCTGAACAAAATACTCCGGAAGACTAGGCATGTTGGCTAAATGATATTGCTTGAAAGTTAATTTCAACCAGTAATCTGCAGCTGACTGTGGTTTATCTGCTCAATAGCCATTCTCACTTCCTTGACTTCCCTGCTACTAGAGCCCACCTGATTTGGTCACTCTCCCAGCCTCCCTTGCAGGTAAGAGTGGTGTGACGGGTTCCAATAGTGTGACCTAAAGGGAAGATCTTCAAGGAAATGTTTTCTTTTCTAGTAAGGCAGAAGCACAGGGGCAGGTTCACCACTCTGCTTTCCTCTGCTGCAGTCCTATGAAATGTGATGATCTAACAATGAGGGCCCCCACGTAACCAAAGAGGAAGGCAAGAGCCTAGAATTCTGTCTGCAGGCTAACACTGAGTCACAATGGTGGAACTCCTGCTTCCAGACTTACTGACATATGATGTTAATTAAGTGTGTTCCTTAACTAAGCCAGTTTTATTTAGTGGTCTATTGCCCTGAAAGTTCCCAAAGTAAAACACAATGCATCCTATGGCATGAAGAGTTTTGGTATCTGGCCCATATTCCAGTGTGAATGAGGGAAAAAAATAGTAATTATTGATTTTTAAAATATATTTTAGAAGAATTCTAAAATGAAATAATGACAGTGCAATTGCCATTTTTCAAAGTGGCAGCTACGTGTAAAGTGAGAATCTGCTTCCTGGTCTGTAACATATACTTGGCTCAGTTATCTCCACACATTCACAAGTGGGCCTTCTGACAGCAGACACAGCAAAGAGTACTTCCTTCTGACAAAATCCTTTCCCTAGTGGTAGAGAAAGCAGAAGAGGATGATCATTAATAGAACTTAACGTTAATACGGAAGAATGTAAAAATAATCTCTCCCATTTTACTTCTAATATAAATTGAAGCAGGTCTGGTTGACCTCCACCCTCTTTTCCATCCATGTGTAGACGATTAAAAACATACTTTTCTGAAAGATTTTAAAACATCCAGAAACCCCAATATTATCCTGTCAAACTTTATATTCTCCAATGATACAGTGCTCGGTTGTTTCCCTTAAAAAAAAAAAAAAAAAAAAAAAAAAAGCTTTGGAAGAAATAATTGTTGTTTTACACAATGCCTGAGAATTTTTATTAGTCACTAAAGGGTTCTCTATTTACTCTTGAATGGATTGTTTTATTGGTGTTGGTACATGGGCCCACTCTGGTATCAAGATTTTTATATTGGATTTTTAAACTATAATCCACTGAAACATAATTTCCCCAAAGCTTCTTAAAGTCAAGACATATACTATATTGATCGTCTCATATGTAATCTGGCATCCAATGTTTTATGAAACATTCCCTCCTATAAGTTAGATTCCTGCCTCAAGAGCCTCGGTGTCCATCGAAAGATGAATGGATAAAGAAGATGTGGTCTATGTATCCAATGGAATATTACTCAGCCATCAGAAATGACAAATGCCATTTGCTTCAACGTGGATGGAACTGGAGGGTATTATGCTGAGTGAAATGAGTCAATCGGAGAAGGACAAACATTATATGGTCTCATTCATTTGGGGAATATAAATAATAGTGAAAGGGAGTAGAAGGGAAGGGAGAAGAAATGGGTAGGAAATACCAGAAAGGGAGACAGAGCATGACTCCTAACTCTGGGAAATGAACTAGGGGTGGTGGAAGGGGAGGAGGGCGGGGGGTGGGGGTGAATGGGTGACGGGCACTGAGGGGGGGGACTTGACGGGATGAGCACTGGGTGTTATTCTGTATGTTGGCAAATTGAACACCAATAAAAAATAAATTTATTATAAAAAAAATTCCTGCCCTCAACTGTATATATTATTATTATGCTTGTAGGCTATTCAGTAACAAGACATCTGTTCAGAAATCCCTCTAGAAAGTTCCCTACATTATTGATGTCACTACTAAAACTATTTCCCCTCCCTTAAAAAAACAGCTGCTTTACATACAAGAGAAAAAAAGATCGTTACTTAGCCAGCAATGTTGATAAATGATTCTGGTATCTTTTGGCTGTCATTGCTTTTGATACACCAGTTAGCTTCATAAGTCTCTTCTGCTCTCAAAGATTGTCAAGTAGCTGTTTAATAGTGAATTTAAGTGCTATTCATATATCCTCTCAATTAAAAGTAAATTTTAATGATTTTTTATGTAAGTGGTCTTAATCTTACAAGCCAGTAAAAATCTCCCAAATAGCTTGTACCATGATTTTTTTAAAGCTCTGAACTTTTGCCTGCTTATTTTCTCCTGCGAGCTTAATATATTTACCAAAAATTTCCACATTCCACATCATCAAAGCTTTCATCTTGTCTCAAAAAAATAAAAAAAGAAAAAAAGTTTAAATGCCGATTAAAAGCCAAAATCAACTATTTTCAGCCTCATTTTTCAAATGTCAGTTTGTTTTTACCCAATTCTAGTAAATTTATATAATGTAATTCTAAACTTCAGTATTTGACATCCTCCTGCTGAAGAAAAGCAGAACTTTTCACCACCTGTGTTGGTTTTGGAGACCAGCCCCTGGGCAACGTGCGGCCAGTAGGTCCTCCTCCTCGGGGGACTGACTGCCTCCATCCGCGCCCCGAACCCCCGCGATTCCCTGTTGTTGCTCTGCACCTGACGTCCTGGTGAGGGGCCCTCTGTGAACAAGGGAGGAACAGAAGAGGTAGGTGACTTTCCCCATGCAGCACACTGTAAGAAGGAATTCCAAATAGGAAGAGAGGGGAAAGAAATTCATTGAAAAGACCAAGTAAAGTTCAAGTCTTTGCACTTTTGAATAGCAATCATTTTCTGCTGAATTAGCTGATACAGTATTTCTCAAGCCTTTGAATTGGATTCCTATGGAGTCTAGCGTCTCCAAAACAAAAGTAGGAAGGAAGTGTTTTTCAGCATAAAGAGGTTCTTACTAGATTTCAATCAAAGAAAAAAAAAGTAAAAAAAAAATATACATCTTGATGGATCTGCCTAGAATTCTTGGTCAAAATAACAGAAGTTGCCAAAACCTGGAAGTGGAGGTGGGGGGTGGAGAGTAGGGGGGGGGGTGTTCTGCCCGCTTAGAATGTGGTGCATAATAAGGGTGCTGAACCAACCCAGAAAACGGGAGGAGGACGCAGGTCCCATCAGCTCAGTCTGTAGATGCTCGTCGTCTTCGCTCCGTGACAAGGGTGGTCTTTAGGACAGCCGCCAGCGGCCACCGCCCCACCCCCCCCAAAAAACTGGCTCAAATGTACCTTTGATGATTCTTTTCCGTTCCCACACCCTCGACGACTTTTGTTCTTGAGCCCTACTCGTTCCTGCTATGAAACCTGACAAAATCTTCAGGCAGAGAGAGAGAGAGAGAGAGGAGAGAATAGGGGCGGGGGCGCGACGGAGAGAGAACGTGCTTTGCCACCCTCCCGCTAACTGAGATGCTTGTTCCCGAGATTACAGTAATTACAGCCACAGCATGAGTCCCACACAAGCGCTAAATGAAACAGCACATCAATTAAGAAATAAACACTCCATTCTAGGAGAAAGACAACCCCCTGGGTTGCCCTAACAAGCGTAAATGAACCTGCCCGGCCGCCGGGCCCGGGCCTCCGCCTCCTCCGCGTCTTAAGGTCGCCGCGGGCCGGCGGCGGGGCGCTCCCCGTCCGCGTGCTGGCGGCGCCGCGGGCCGCCCCCGGCCGCTCCCGGCCGCCCCCGGCCGCCGCGCCCCGCCGCGCCCCGCCCCGCCCCGCCCCCGCGGCTCTCCGCAGGGGGGAGGCCCTGGAGACCGCGGGAGCTTCGCGGGGACGTGGTGCGCCCCGGAAGGAAGTGCGAGGCGGAGAGAGGGTCCGGCCGCAGTCCGCCCTGCTTACGTCTGTCTTTTTTTTCTTCCCGAAAGGACGTTATCCTTTCATAGGGAAACACTGCGTCCCGGATGCTTTACATGTCTCATCCCGCCTGACTACGGGGCCCCCTTTGAAACCCAAGCCATGACCCCACTCTTCGGGGACGGAAACTGAGGCTCTCCTGGCCACTCGGCCGCCTGCCCCGCCCCCCAGAGCCGAACGATGCCAAAGGCCGTCGTCCCACACCCCGCAGCGCCAGCCCCCCGACGGCGCCGCTGCGCGGACCCCAAGGGCCCCTCCGCGGCTCTGGCGCGCGCTCGCGGGCTCTGCGCGCGTCCAGCTCGCGGGCGGCCGCGGGTCCCCCGCGCCCAGGGGCACGGGTCGGCAGCGACCGGTCTTGCTTGAAAGGAGCCTGGGGAGCGCGCGCGCATGAACCCGCGTCCCAGCGCCCACACACAGGCCCGGGGGCAGGGCACCGAGACGTGGCCGGCGCGGAGCCTCGCGGAGGCGGTCGCGACGAGCCCCTCTCCACAGCCGGTCCCAAGGTGACCGGCGCCTCGGGCCGCAGAGGCGCTCAGCGGCACCGCGGCGCGGCCTTAAGGACGGCGAGCCCTGGGAGCGCGTCGACCCCGCCCCGGCGCCCGGCCATTGGCGCGCGCGGCCGGGGGCGGAGACTGAGTCCGCGCCGTATAAATATTCATGAGGCGGCCGGCGGCGCGGACGGGGCCGCGGCCGGGAAGTTGGGCGAAGGGCTCAGCTCCCGCCGAGGAGGGGGAGGAGGAGGAGGAGGAGGCGGCGGCGGCGGCGGCGGCGGCTGGACGCGGGGCCGCCGCTCAGGGGTCTGGGTTCCGTTCCGTTCCGTGAGCCTCGCAGGAGGGGATCTGCGCACACCTCGCCCGACTGCCGGCCCGGAGCGCGGAGCGGACTTTTACCAGAGGCGGAGTCTGTCAGTCCCGGCGGCGGAGCGGCGGACCGACCGAGCGACCGACCGAGCGACCGCCCGAGCGACCGCCCGAGCGACCGCCCGGCCCCGGGGGAAGAGGGCGGCGGCCTCCGCGGAGGCAGGTCTTGAACCCCCGCGGCGGAGCGGCGCAGTCCGGGGGCGAGCATGAGCCCCCGGGGACCGAGACGGGGCCGCCGGGGCTGAGCGGCGGGAGCGGCCTGGCCCAGCCATCTTGACTGCTCGCCGCCGCCCGCAGGGAAACTTGCTGTACCGCCGCCCTCCGCGCCCGCCCGAGTCCGGGCCCCGGCCCCGGCCCCGGCCCCGGCGCCGCGTGGAGCAGTGGCGGGGCGCGCGGCGGAGCCAGCGGGCGATACCGGGACGATGCGCGGGGGGCCGGCCCGGGGGCCGCGACAGGGCTGAGCCTCCCCGGGGACCGTGGCGCACGCCGGCAGGACCCGCGCCGCCGCGGCCCAGGCTTCGGGCCCCTCGTGCGGACGCGTCCCGGGAAGGGACTAGGTCATCGGCAGACCCGCGTTCCGGCAGAGGCGGGCCGCGCCCGGCGGGGCGCTCGCTCTCCGCTTCGGCGGCTCCCTCGCCGACTTCCCGGCGCCCTGTGCACGCCGCGCGGGGGCGCGGGCGCGGGCGGGGGCGCGGGGCCGAGGCGCGCAGCATGGAGTGGGGTTACCTGTTGGAAGTGACCTCGTTGCTGGCCGCCCTGGCGCTGCTGCAGCGCTCGAGCGGCGCGGCCGCCGCCTCGGCCAAGGACCTGGCGTGCCAGGAAATCACCGTGCCGCTGTGCAGGGGCATCGGCTACAACTACACGTACATGCCCAACCAGTTCAACCACGACACGCAGGACGAGGCGGGCCTGGAGGTGCACCAGTTCTGGCCGCTGGTGGAGATCCAGTGCTCGCCCGACCTCAAGTTCTTCCTGTGCAGCATGTACACGCCCATCTGCCTGGAGGACTACAAGAAGCCGCTGCCTCCGTGCCGCTCGGTGTGCGAGCGCGCCAAGGCCGGCTGCGCACCCCTCATGCGCCAGTACGGCTTCGCCTGGCCCGACCGCATGCGCTGCGACCGGCTGCCGGAGCAGGGCAACCCCGACACGCTGTGCATGGACTACAACCGCACGGACCTGACCACAGCCGCGCCCAGCCCGCCGCGCCGCCTGCCGCCGCCGCCCCCGGGTGAGCAGCCGCCGTCTGGCAGCGGCCACGGCCACGGCCACGGCCGCCCGCCCGGGGCCAGGCCCCCGTCCCGCGGCAGGGGCGGCGGCGGCGGCGGGGACGCGGCGGCGCCCCCCACGCGCGGCGGCGGCGGCGGCGGGAAGGCGCGGCCCCCTGGCGGCGGCCCTGCGCCCTGCGAGCCGGGCTGCCAGTGCCGCGCGCCCATGGTGAGCGTGTCCAGCGAGCGGCACCCGCTCTACAATCGCGTCAAGACCGGCCAGATCGCCAACTGCGCGCTGCCCTGCCACAACCCCTTCTTCAGCCAGGACGAGCGCGCCTTCACGGTCTTCTGGATCGGTCTGTGGTCCGTGCTGTGCTTCGTGTCCACCTTCGCCACCGTGTCCACCTTCCTCATCGACATGGAGCGCTTCAAGTACCCTGAGCGGCCCATCATCTTCCTCTCCGCCTGCTACCTCTTCGTGTCCGTCGGCTACCTGGTGCGCCTGGTGGCGGGCCACGAGAAGGTGGCGTGCAGCGGCGGCGCGCCGGGCGCGGGCGGCACCGCGGGGGCGGGGGGCGCGGCGGCGGCGGCCGCGGCGGGCGCGGGCGCGGCGGGCGCGGGCGCGGGCGGCCCGGGCGGGCGCGGCGAGTACGAGGAGCTGGGTGCCGTGGAGCAGCACGTGCGCTACGAGACCACGGGCCCCGCGCTGTGCACCGTGGTCTTCCTGCTCGTCTACTTCTTCGGCATGGCCAGCTCCATCTGGTGGGTGATCCTGTCGCTCACGTGGTTCCTGGCGGCGGGCATGAAGTGGGGCAATGAGGCCATCGCCGGTTACTCGCAGTACTTCCACCTGGCCGCCTGGCTGGTGCCTAGCGTCAAGTCCATCGCCGTGCTGGCGCTCAGCTCCGTGGACGGCGACCCGGTGGCCGGCATCTGCTACGTGGGCAACCAGAGCCTTGACAACCTGCGCGGCTTCGTGCTGGCGCCGCTCGTCATCTACCTCTTCATTGGCACCATGTTCCTGCTGGCCGGCTTCGTGTCGCTGTTCCGCATCCGCTCGGTAATCAAGCAGCAGGGCGGCCCCACCAAGACACACAAGCTGGAGAAGCTCATGATCCGCCTGGGCCTGTTCACCGTGCTCTACACGGTGCCCGCCGCCGTCGTGGTGGCCTGCCTCTTCTACGAGCAGCACAACCGCCCGCGCTGGGAGGCCACGCACAACTGCCCGTGCCTGCGGGACCTGCAGCCGGACCAGGCGCGCCGGCCCGACTACGCCGTCTTCATGCTCAAGTATTTCATGTGCCTGGTGGTGGGCATCACCTCGGGCGTGTGGGTCTGGTCTGGCAAGACGCTGGAGTCGTGGCGTGCCCTGTGCACCCGCTGCTGCTGGGCGAGCAAGAGCGCCCCGGGAGGCGGGGGCGCGGGGGGCGCGGCCGCAGGGAGCGCCGGGGGACCTGGGGGCGCCGGGGGCGGGGGCCCGGGCGGCGGGGCGGGATCCCTCTACAGCGACGTCAGCACCGGCCTGACGTGGCGATCCGGCACGGCCAGCTCCGTGTCTTATCCAAAACAGATGCCATTGTCCCAGGTCTGAGTGCAGGGGAGGGGGGGGGGGTGGCGAGGAAACCCAGTGCAGCGAAGGGACACTCGATGGGCTGTGGTTCCCACCCCTTCATCGTGTTGATTGCTATTAGCATGATAATGAACTCTTAATGGTATCCATTAGCTGGGACTTAAATGACTCACTTAGAACAAAGTACCTGGCATAGAAGGCTCCCAGACCCAGCCCCCTCTCCTCCATTGACGCGGGGAGCTCTTCCCGCCAGGCGTTAATCTGTTGGCAGAGGACGGTGGACTCTGCTGCGTTTGGAGCCCTCGCTGGTTGCCATGTGCCGAGCTTGAAGCCAGACCTACAGATTGCACCTGAGGGACCTGTTTCTCTCCCTCGATCCTGCTACGTAAACTGTTACTCCTAACGTATCCTAGAGGAGGGATGACCGCGACCGAATGGAATTGCACGGTTTGGGTATTCTTAGTGACCAGGCAAATGCCTTAAATAAACAAACAAGAAATGTCTTAATTATACGCCCCAAGTAAATACGGGTTTCTTACATTAGAGGATGTATTTATATAATTATTTGTTAAATTGTAAAAATGTGTAAAATATGTACATACCCAAAGATATACAGTCTGTACATTTCTTTTGTAAAAAGTTTAGAGGCCACCCCTGTAAGAACAAATATAAGTATTATATTTTGTCAATAAAATGACTTTTGATAAATGATTTAAGCATTGCCCTTCCCCCCCCCCCCCCCCCCGCCTCTTCTAAGCTGTTACCTTTAAGTGCTTGCCAAGGATGCATTGAAAAAAAAAATGGACATTTTTCTGGTTTCTCATTCTGTATGCTGACTTTAGGCATGGAGAAAATGACCTGTTAAACTCTAGTTCTTAAGTTGTTAGCAAAGTAAATATCACTGTTGAACTGAAATCAAAATTGAGTTTTTGCACCTTCCCAAAAAGATGGTGTTTTTCATGGTAGCCCTTTCCTGATCCATGGATAACAAGACTCACCTTAGTGTACGTAAATGGAACTTTTGCAAGGCAACAATTGCCCTCAGGCCTTATTATTTATCTTGTACAGTATCACTAAAGGCTTCGGAACCCCCATTTATTTCTCAGTGTCCCTGATTTGGAGATCACCTGGGTTTTCAAGCACTGAACACCCTGCTGAAGTGTAGAGGTTAATGTTTTAAACCATAGATCACACTTTACAGTGTAAGTCACTTAACTATCTGGAGTGGAGCAGGCACTTTTTAATGGATTAGACTAACGGGTTAACATCTTAATAACCTTCCAGGCTTGTGTATACCAAATGTGCTTCTTTTCCTAGAGAAAAAGCTATTGTTCCTCTGTCAAGACTAAGCTAATTTATTTGAGCAGAAGGCTGTTGAATTAGCAGAAGAATGCTTTGGCAATTGTTGAACTTTTTACCTGTCTGCCCAGTGGCCCAGCACATCATTCCTTTAAGAGGGGCTAAATGAATAGGGTTAATCTGTAGGGAACTTGGTCTTTTGAGTTTGAAAAACTTTGATCTTTTCTCCTCTCCAAATGTGCTGTATAGTCTGAAGTTTCTTTCCCTGCTGCCCGGCTCCTCTTGGTGCAGACCAATTGGCCACCGCGGAGCCTTAAAGTTCTTCCATTAAAGGGATGTGGGACTTTTACTTTAAAAAGGAGAGAGAGCGAGGGAGAGGAAGACTTGTAACAGTTAGTGAAGACCAGAGGCACAAGTGCGCTCAGCCTTTTAAACAGCTTTTCCCGGCATTGTTAGCCAGCCTGCAGGCAGCTAGGCATGGGTTGAAGCATTATAGAAAAGGGCTCTGAATGCCCTACAGGTGGTCTGTGCACATAATCCCCCAATTTAAAGCGTTTTCCTTTGCTGGACAATTGCATTACAAAACTCCCTTCTTTTTCGCCCCTAATTGAACCAATGAACTATTATAAACTACAAGTTTTTCTTAAAAAAAAAAAAAAGAAAGAAAGAAAAGAAAAGAAAGAAAGAAAAAAAGCCTCTGCCTAAATTCTATTGACTAAATTCTGGCAAGTTTTCTGAACTGAACCTTTTAAAGCACCGGAAGTAAAAGCTTCTTCAGACATTTCACTTTCTTAGATATTTTTATTCCCCATGCAAGCATTATTTTCTGACAGATTAGCAATAATTTAAAAGTAATTGGTAAGGTTGTGTGTTCATACTGAAAAGATAGCCCCAGGTCTCTTATTAATCTGTCAATCAAGAAATGGGCAGCTATAGTGAAATAAGTCAATCGGAGAAGGACAAACATTACATGTTCTCATTTATTTGGGGAATATAAATAATAGTGAAAGGGAATAGAAGGGAAGGGAGAAGAAATGGGTAGGAAATATCAGAAAGGGAGACAGAACATGAAGACTCCTAACTCTGGGAAATGAACTAGGGGTGGTGGAAGGGGAGGAGGGTGGGAGGTGGGGGTGAATGGGTGACTGGGTGACGGGCACTGAGGGGGGCACTTGATGGGATGAGCACTGGGTGTTGGCAAATTGAACACCAATAAAAAATTTATTATTTAAAAAAATGGGCAGCTACGCTGCTAATGATAGGGGCATCCAACATTGCAGGATGGGAGACGTGTTCTTTGCATCCTGCTAAAATGTTTGTTATCTTTACTTTTCCTAATAGGAATATTTAGTGGTTAAAATTTGTTTAATTAATACGATGGATTAATTTGGCTGCTCTTTCTTGTGTGAGAGTCTTTTAAGAAGAGTTTCTTGGTAGAAACATTTTGCAAATCCTTTCCAGAGTCATTCTTGGTGTTATTGGATTTTTTAAAATTAGGTATGCAAAAAGAACTCCTACGTTAGCTATCATGTTGATTATCTTTCTTAAAGTCAGAGGCATTGTAAAATCTTCACCTCCCAGCAGTTTTATTTATTAAAGAATTACCTTAGGTAATTTTTGTAACTTAGGTACCAAGTAGCCTACATCTAACCCATGTGGTGATGCTCATGTACTGTAGTGTACATAAACCAGCCATAAACTTTACAGTTTCAGTTATAAAGTGTAAGTTTGAAGGCACTTTCCATACTCTTTACCACATATATGGGATGCAGAGAGAGCTAAAAGCCACTACTTAGCATACTGGTTCCCTAATGTAGCAGTACTCTCATTATTGACATATTTTCAGCTAACGTGACATGGTGGGAAATGTCCAATTTTGAAGTTTTTTTCCTTTATTAACTTTTCAATATATCCTTGTAAAATGCCATACTTGATAGCTTTTACAAGATGACTATAAATGTGCTCAATATAAACAGGTTTCTTAAGCAGAAAACCCTACTATTCTAAGGACAGCTCTTTGTAAGAAGACCTGCACCTCTAATCACTAAAGACTGGTTTTAGAGACTGACACTATAAAACAAGTACTGGTTCTTTGCCTTTAAAACTAAAAGCTTGAGTTGCAAATTTACCAATATCCAAATGGTATCTATTAATAGGATAAAAGATGCAAAACCGATTTGGGGGGTGGGAAAATGGAAGGAGAGCCTCAATTTGGCAATTTGCATTAGACAAATGAATAGGTCCTTTGCCTCAATACTCCCCTTTGTGCTATACAGGTGTCTTCTTAATTAACTATATGGATCAAGTGCTAGCTGTTTTTTTTGTTGTTGTTGTTTTTTGTTTTTTTTAATTTTGTCAAACATGGGAGGTTGGGGGCTGGGGATGTGCTTACTGTGTAGCTAGATCAATATGAATAAAGTCTAATATGGCTAAATCCATCAGTAAAGCCAAAGCTCATTACAATTACTTGTAGGAAAAGCTATGTGAAACACTTTATTTTTGCTTTATAATAAATGGAATTTGAAAGTACTGTAAAGCAAAGATGGGGGTAGTGTGTGAGACAGTTTAAGGAGCAAACATGTCACCATTATAGTTTCTTAACCTGCATTGATGGCATTGCAGATTCCTGCAAACCTTGCAAGTTTGGGGGAGGGAAATCAGATTATCATGCCAGAAGAAAAGTTACACAGACTCACGCAGTTGCAGAGTACAGGATGCGATTGCAAGTATAGGTGCACACATCCTGTGAGGATGCTCCAAACAGATCACGTGTGGCCACCTGCTTTCCACGTGTGATACCACACTGCCACCTTGAGGCAGCCAAAGTTCCAACTGGCGGGACAGGCAGGTTCATTCAGAAATACTAAAAAAAAAAACTAAAAAAAAAAAGAAATACTAAGCCCCTACTCTGCTGGCCTTGTCACATACACAGAACTCACCCGGAGGGCCTGCAAGCATCTCCTATTCATAATTTTAAATTTTTCATCTTAAGGATCCCAAAATGGCAGCAGTTTAAAGCCCCACAAGGTCTTATTGAATTGAATCCTCAGTATAAAGTTATGCCAAAAATGTAGTTAAGCTGTATTGAAATCAAAAGTTCTTTTTTAAATTATCTTTTGAGTGACATTTACCTGAAGAATGGGCTACTCACCAAAGATCCGCCACCCAATGGGAGAGGATCCAAAAGTTAATGGGAGAAAGTGTGAGTCATGGAGAATATTTTGAGGTGCCAAGTCGTTGGCTTGCTTATTTAAATGTAGTACTTTCCAATTTCCCACATAGAAGTTGATCTGCCAGTCTAGTGGACACCCTTCAAGAGTGTACATGAATGCTATTGGTTTGGGTGGGAAGCAAGCTGTGCCCTGTCATCTAGCCAGGTGTTTGTGGAAACACACCCAGGAATAGAAAGTGTGTTGGGAAACTAGGTCAGCCTAACAGAGGATGGGAGAAGCATTTACTCTGGATTGTCTGAGGCCTAAGGGAGGAAGATCTCCATACACAGCAGTGTGGGAAGACCAGACCTTTCAGGGGGACCGGCGTGGGATGTACGTATAGAGAACAGGTAGCCTTACAAGGCCCACATCTGAAGACTCCTTGTTCTGAGAATCAAAACAGCAGGTAGGAACCACAGAGAAGGAGGCAGCACTGGTCAAGGAAATACAGACTAAAGATATGAGAGATCATCTACCAGGATCATGGAATTTTTAGAGACAGAGGTCCCAGGGTCATCAAGAACCTTGCTACTCCATGGACACGTAGCAGGCGCAAGATCGACAAGCATGATGGAAATGCAGAATCTCAGGTCTTGCTTACTGAGTCAGACGCTGTATTGTGACCAGATCCCTAAAACTAGAAGCCCAAAGAGGTCTGGACTTGCCAAAGATCATAAAACCAAAAGCAGAACTGTGTGGAGGTTCCTCAAAGAGTTAAAAATAGACCTGCCCTACGACCCAGCAATTGCACTGTTGGGGATTTACCCCAAAGATACAGATGCAATGAAACACCGGGACACCTGCACCCCGATGATTCTAGCAGCCATGTCCACAATAGCCAAACTGTGGAAGGAGCCTCGGTGCCCATCGAAAGATGAATGGATAAAGAAGATGTGGTCTATGTATACAATGGAATATTACTCAGCCATTGGAAACGACAAATACCCACCATTTGCTTCCAGGTCGATGGAACTGGAGGGTATTATGCTGAGTGAAATGAGTCAATCAGAGAAGGACAAGCCTTATATGTTCTCATTCATTTGGGGAATATAAATAATAGTGAAAGGGAATAGAAGGGAAGGGAGAAGAAATGTGTGGGAAATATCAGAAAGGGAGACAGAACATAAACACTCCTAAATCTGGGAAACAAACTAGGGGTGGTGGAAGGGGAGGAGGGCGGGAGGTGGGGATGAATGGGTG